TGTTAAAATATCAAGAATATTATTTTCAGTTGTTGTAGAAATTTGTTTATTTGGAGATAAAATAATATCTCGTGAAGGAGAAGGAGGTACATCAATATCAGGTATAGAATAAAGTTTTAAATGTTCTTCATCATTTAATCTATTATCGACTAATGGTCATTGATCCCAATAATTATTAACTTTAAAATATAAAACTTTATTAGTCTTTCTTTGAAACAAAAAAAAAAAAAACAAATTATAAATTACTTGGCTCATAATCAATTTGTTTTGTAGTTGTTACTTGATCTAAACTATCATCTAATATTATAATTGATTGTTGTTTGATTGAACTTGTATCTTGATAATTATTTTCTTTTTCATTAGTATTATTTAAATCATTCGTTATATCAAGTGGTGGTGGTGTATAAGCTTCTGTTCGATCATCATCATCATCATCATCATCACCATTATCTTGATTAACATCTATCATCATCATCATCTTCAACAAAAAAAAAACGAACTCTATTAAATCTTCTATTTATTTGATCTTTTGTTTTTCTCTAAATTATCGAAATTTCTTTTTTTTTATTTTTCTTAGCAAAAAGTACAAAAGAAAAAACAGATTTTCACTGGATGAAATCATGCCATTAGTTCATCATCATCATCATCATTAAGTATTCGAGCTAATTGTGTCATCGGGATCTGAAAAAAGTGTAGAAAAAAAAAAATTATTATATTTATAAGGTGCCAATAATGCAAAATTCGAATGGATTTTTTTGCTCGCTCACTTATATATGGTTGGATAGAGCTTGACGAGCTGGTCACGAATATATGGTTATTATTTCGAGCCGACGATCGTTTGCCGAAAAAGAACAGTACAAAACTCAAATAATTGAAAATGTAGCAGTGGTAATTAAGAACTCGCACTTTTTGTTTTTTTTACAGAAATTGTCAAATTTCGATTTATGTCATTTTTTCAAAATTTATGAAAACATATTATTGTGGTTTAGCACCAAAAATTGAATAGAAAAATATTATTTGATTAGGTTTAAAGTTAATAAGGTTAAAAATGTTTCGTCCAATATAGATAGTTTTAACATGCCTCATAGCACGTAGTTGTAAGTATTCTTGTAACTTATCTAGTTTTTCGTAACAAGAGATAGAAGCAAGTGCCTTATCTCATTAGAATCATCAGGTTGTGAGCTACAAAAATACCTATTTAGGTTTTTAAGTTTTTGTCTTTTGAATTTTTTTTCTCATTCGATGGTAAAATTAAGCAAAAGAATAAAAGATGTGTCTTGTATTTAGTGATTTTTATTACCATGGTCTAGTTAAAAATCGAAATAGATAGCATATTCAGAATAAGTGTCAAAAACTGTATGAAATCACATATGTTTTAATAAAAACTGTTTCCAATGAAGAAATACCTCTGGTTCCCTCAGATCTATTTTTCTGAAATTTTGCTTCTAGCCCTCCAGAGGTCCGTTTTCCCAGGAAAAAAAAGATTTCTAAAAACATATCTGGTTCGATGCAGTTTTTTTACACTTATTCTGAATATGCTATCTATTTTGATTTTTAACTGAATTATGATCATAACAACTGCTAAATACGAGCACATTTTTTATTCTTTTGTCTAATACTATCACCCAACGGAGAAAAATAAAATTTTGTTACAAAAAGCTAGATACGCTTACAAGAATATTTACATATACGTGTTATGAGATATGTTGGAGCTATCTGTATTGGACAAGATTTTTTAAGTTTATTTGAAAAACTATTTTATCGAAATTTGACAATTTCTATAGAAAAAAAAGACGGATTCATAGTTATCAAGGCTACATTTTCAATCATTCGAGTTTTGTACGGTTCTTTTCCGGTAAACAGTGATCGAATCAAAATAAAAAACTATATATTCATGACCATTTTCGTCAAGCTCTATTCAACCATATATAAACGAGCGAGAAAAGAAATTCATTCAAATCTTGCATTATGAACTCCTTACTTCATCATCATGAGGATTAGAGACCTGCGGAGTACTCCGAAACCCGATTTCAACTCCGACTCCGTCGGAGTCGGAGTCGGAGCCGGAGTCAGCAAAAAGAAATTTTTCGGAGTCGGAGTCGGAGTCGGGTTTTCTGAAAAAAATTTTCGGAGTCAAAGTCCTGACCATGTTTGAATAACTTTTGCTGTTTCAAATAAGAGCATCTTTATTCTTCAGCTTAACAAACAAAAAAAAAGAGAGATAACAGTTGCTACATATATTAAGAACGAGTTTCAAGGAAAAACCTCACATTGATAATCTTTTGGCTGTATCGTTCAAAAGACTGGCTACGTAAAAGCATAATGTCATCAATGAAAATATATTGCAATTTCATTAGAAGTACTACAATTCTCTTGATCATCAATTTTTGATTCCTTGAACATAGTACATATCGAAAACTTGTCAGTGATTGTTTTTTATTTCCACTGAATCACAAATGTACAAGAAATTTCAAATTAATCTATTAAAGATTCTTAGATATTCCTTCACTCGTTTGTTCCTTTATCGTTCAGGACTACATTACTATTACTGGTAGTAAGTAATAGCATATAAGGTTATTAATTATTATATGTAATTAGAAATAATCTGCGAAAGTAACAGAGGGAAGAAAGTAAAAATGTTATAAAGTAGTATAGTATTAAAACTAGTAACTCATAGAAGCAATATTGTTATTAGTTTATTACTAGCAATAAAGTATATAAAATTATTACCAGTTACCCAGTAATAGTATAAAAAAATAATACAGTAAAACCTCTAGTAGTGAGCGCCTCTCTACAGTGAAAACCTCGTTATTATTAGTGTTTTTCACGAGTCCGGAAAGGCAATTTTTGCTGAAAATGGACCTTCCGAAGGCGAACATCTGATTATAAGGAACATTTTTCAATAGTCTCGATCGTGCTCACTTTAGAGAGACTTCATGGTAGTAATGTAGCAACCTTATTATTGATTTCCGCATGTTGTAAATTAAACAATAAAACATATTTGAGATTTCCTTTTATTGATAAAAAAAATTCGGAGTTTCTCGGAGTTTTTCGGAGTTGGAATCGGAGTCAAAAAATAAAAATTTCCGGAGTCGGAGTCGGAGTCAGAGTTGTAAAGAAGAAATTTTTCGGAGTCGGAGTCGGGTTTCGGAATAAAAAAACCTGACTCCGCAGGTCCCTAATGAGGATCAGTTGTTGTTATATTCCACCAATTGACATGACCAAAATTTGTTTGGGATACAACTTGAAGAGAACTTAAAGGAAATTTATATGCATTTTCTGAAGGTATTATTGTAATTAGACGTTCACATAGATTTGATAAACGTATTGAACATAGTTTTAGTTTATCTTCCATTGAGACATTCCATAATGGTACTGTTAATAAACTAAATGTAGATGATAGAATTCATTCATAGATAGAAATTAAAGAAAAAGAAAAGAGATTTACTCTATTGTTTTGATTTTTTTCGATACAGCTTGAAGAATATCGAAAGCATTATGAGGTTCTATAGCAGTTTTAATTGAAGTTGAAAGTGCTATTGCCTTTAATAAAAATAAATAATAATTTAAAATGTATTGTTTTTCGATTAAAAAGTTTTACTAATTGTTGTTGTTCATCATCTTCAGTTTTAGGTATTTCCATTTTAATAATTCGATTTTTAATATTTGTTCCTATTTGTTTCTTTATTGTAGTAATTGATTTTGATTCCTTGATATTTGTTGTAGTTTTAGTAGCAAAATTAACAACATGCTTTAATTGAACACTATTTTGATTCGAACATTTTTTAAGATGTGATAAATAACTATGTTTTACATGAAATGACATTCCACAAATTTGACATTTAAAATTTGATAATATTGTTATTGTTGTTGGTTTTCGAATAGTAGATGAAGGTTTTGTATAAGATACTAAGGTTTTTTGATGTTTTGGTTCAATCTTAATGAGAATCGATAATTAGATATTTAAATTTACAGCCAATCATAAGGATCTAATAGCGCGGTTAACAGGTTCCGTGAAAGCTCGCTAGAATATGAGACACAAGAATCCGATTTTTTCGTCTTTGACATACATGTGTAACTGAAACTGAAATTAAACAGATAGGGAATATGAGACAGTAGAAAACCATTTCATACATTTCTTATGAGAAAAACTTTACAAATGTATTTTGACGATCGAGTCAAGGCGAAAATTCGAAAGTCAATTTTTCCAGTGATCCAGAGGAAGACCATGTCATTGTGCTGAAAAATGAAATTTTTTCGTCAGAATTAAACTAAGAGCACGCAACTCTTTTTGAGTATTGAGAATTCCTTAGGGTCTACATGATACATATAGTCTCAGATCGAAAACATTCTCTCATTCGTCTTCAAACGATGAAGCTGTTCAAATTGATGCATAGGTGTTGATCTCCTGTTTCTACAAAAGAGTTTGAAACCTCGAAATATCAAATACCTATTTAACACTTGATCAATTGTTGACACAGGAAGTTACTTTTGCAAAAAGATAATTGATAAATTTTGAGCTAAGATTTTGTCAGAAAATAGAACTAGATGATATCAGAATATTCTGAAAGTTTCAGCAAAAACAAATCTATCTTTTTTGAGATAATAACAAATCCAATATCTGGACAAAGACATATTCGCTTTTGCTGATACTTTCAGCATATTTGAATAAGGTCTAGCTATATCTTCTGACTCAAGATCAGTATACCATTGATCAGAGTTCTTGCACAGATATTTTAGTCTTAAAATTCCAAACTCATGGTAGAAATGGGAGCTCAAAAGCAATGAATCAATTCAAGCAGTTCCTTTGTAAGTAAAAATTTTTAGTAAATAAAAATCAAGTCTTATCATAAGAATCTGGATATTATATGGTAAAGTCTTTATGACATACATTAAGAATTTGAGGTTCTTCAAGACATCGATTAACATGTTGTTGACGTTGATCAATAGTACTTAAGTTAGATAAAACTTGATTACAAATAGGACATGTTATATCATTATTTTCGATTTGTATTATAATTGATTCAAGACATTCTTTTATCGGATCATTTTTTCTTACAATAGAATTTATTTTTGGTTGATAAATAACTTTAGGACGTTTTCTTATCGTTATAAAATCATCATCTTCATCATCATTAATTTCAATAGAAACTTTCTTTTTTGGAGAAATAACTTTTGTTATTGGATTCATGACATTTTCTTTTGATGAACTAAATAAAATAAGTTTGATTACAAAAAACAAAAAGCAAACTTTAAAAAAATTGCAAACATTGTTCGTTTTTTTTTATGTAAATTTATCTACAAGATAATTATTTCGTTTATTGTTTTCATCTGTATTTCTTCGAATAAATGTTTGTTGTTGTTCAAGAAGATTTCGTTGTTTTTTATTTAAAATTGATGTTACAATATGATTAACATGTTCATTTGATATTGTTGTTGTTGTTGTTGAATATGTAAACATATCTTATTTTTTTTCTTTTTTAACTAAGACCTTCTTGTTCACGACGTTTATTACGTAATTTTTTATATCGTTCGAAATTATCAATTTGAATTTGTTCGTGAATTCGTTGTTTTTGAAGTAAATCAATTGCTTTTTCTAATTCTAATTAAACAAAAACAAAACAAAACAACAAATGCCAAAAAGAAGTAAAATGTTTCAACAAACCTTGACTAGTTAAACCTTCAGTACTGATGATACGTTCTACTTCACCTTTTTTAATACTTTCTTTCGTTCTTTGTCTGATTCAATATGAACTTGAAAGAAAAAAAAACAAATTAATTCAATAAATCAATTTTTAATCATTTATACTTACTAATAAAAATAACCAAATGTAATAACAGATGCTGTTGTAATGAAACCAGCACCGAGAGACCAATAAAAGAGTGGAGCACGATTCTTTCGGATGTCGTTCAACAAGGATACCTAAATACAATTTAATGAAAATTATTCACATCAAAATAAAGTTTCTTTTAAAATGAGATCACTTCAAATATAAAGTTATAGTTAAAATCAACTTAAACAAGAGTATGGACATGACGAGCATGCGCAGCATCTCTTTGCCTGCAACTGAACTACTTTACGTCCCACTCGAACAAAGATTAAATGAAAGTTTTTCCTAGAAATATTGACGATCATACCGCTTTGTTGTCTTAGAAAATTCGAAAAAAATTCACTTTTAAAATAACTTCGGTAATGTTAGAATCATATTTAACTTGACTTATTCAACTCTGACAAGGAAAAATTGTCAAGTATGAGTGTTCATTTTCAATCGACTTTATGCTAGTTTGTAGAGCTCGATGAACTAATCAAGATGGATTAATGCGTTCTTCCCTATAGGGCTACCTTGAGGAATTAAGTCAATCTTAACTACAGAAAGAAATTATTATAAACTGTTATTTCAGAAATTTTAATTTTTATATTAGTTTAGTTTTTAGCATTGAAAGCTTTAACAATGAGTGCCGTTACATTAAAATTGTAGATGTATGGAATTTAATTATTTTTTTTGTAAACTAATCATAGTTCTCTGAAGATACTATTCTAAAGACATAGTAATTAAAGTTTTATCACATATCTCATTTTCAATAGTCTGTCTGCATTCTATTTATTTTTTTTCACATGTTTATACGGAAAAGTACAGTAGATAATGTAGGTTATTTGAAACATGACCAACATACAATTGAAATCAGATGGATTTTTGAAAAGAAAATAATTGAATGCTGTACATTCATAGTATAGACGTTGTTAGAATTTCGATTTACAGTTAATTAAGGCGTGAATTCATTGTTAGAATTTTCAATGCTGAGAACTAATCTAATATAAAAAATAAAATGTTTGAAATAGCAGTTCTCTACAAGAAAACCTATTTCTGTTTATCTAAATATTTGAAATAACTTTTTTTTTATCAGATGAAACAAACGATTGACTTTATTGTTACAATATTCAAAGATAATATTTTCCTTACTTCATTAGAGACGTGCACGGTAAACTATTTTTCATAGTATTAGCGTGTCCTACTCTGCAAGGTAGGGTTATAATGAATAACTCTATTCTTCCATTAGTATTTTTTTATTTTGCTTTAGTTTATGCGATGAATCAAGTTGTCGGATGGGATTATTTTCTAAAAATACCTATTTAAAGTAATTAGCTAAATAAAAATAAATGTTTTTGTAGATTATTAAAAGAGAAATCTTTTTCTAAAAAAAATTTTTCCACATAGATCAAACAAAATGTTTGAGATGTTTTAAAAATATGTCGAAGGTCATGTTTTACAATTAGCTATTACTTATGTACTGCAATCATAATGATTGATATTGTAAATATCAT